TTAAAGATAACCTTGGCTTCTATGAAACGATTGACCAGATCAATGCTGCAAAGTACGTGGAGAACGCCGATTGGTTTCGGATTGCTTTGTATTGATGTAATCGTGTGTGCCAGGATCTGGGCTGCGAAGGAATATGTGGACAGGAAACGGATCGGGATCTGGGGCTGGGTCAGTCTCATTTACGGGGTCTTGGTGTGAGCTAATTGAGATGAATGTAGTCGTATGGTGGGTTCATGGCTTCAAAGGTCGTGGAAGCCAATGCGGGCGTGCATTCTTTGTCGATGGCTATTGCTGTACGTAACACGTGGTTTAGAACTTTTTTTGCCTTTCCGTATCGGACTGACTCTTTTGTGATCGGTCTCTCACAGCCTGTAACGAGTTGGCGTTTGTATGGTGAGCACATGGACACGGGTCTCCCACACGCGCCCATCAATATTGACGGATGGATTTTTAGATTCCATATACACCGAGCGTTACATGAACCTGCCACAGGCGAACCCAGGAGGGTACATCAACGCGTCCATCTCGAATGTGACTGGCTTCCATAATGTGGACTATCTATTGGCTCATGGAAGCGGTGACGACAACGTGCATTACGCGAACTCGGCGCATCTGCTGGATATGTTGACTAAGGCCCAGGTCCGAAATTTCAGATTTAGGATGTTCACTGATAGGTGGGTTTGCCATCCGACCAATGCCGGAGTGTGTGCTGATTGGCTGGCCGGCGGATGCCGCTGTTCGGGTTTGATTGACAGTGACCATTCAATCTCGCGTAGAGGGGCGAACAGGGAGGTCTACGAACTGATGACAGACTTTTTGATGGAGAAGTGGGGCAAGGGGGGGCGGCGAAGGGGCTGGTAGCCGGCGGGATGGAAGTGATTGCTGTGTTGAATCAATCTAGATTGGTCTAGACCGTTGTGATCTGAGAAAAGATTCAAAGTCCGGGCAGGGCCCAGAAGGGACCATCGCTGGGATAAATATGCAAAAGCCTTATGAGAAATACGAGCGAATCAATGCCCTTCCCTGTCTCTTTTAACAATCAGAACCACATAATGTTGCCAGCACCGACGCCTCGAAAGCGAGAACGGCCAAGAGGCCTGTGGAAGGCTCGCGTGATGCCACTCGACCGGCGACCGGCGACAAATGCCCACGAAAGGAAACCCCCCGGCTTGGAGTCTGACAACGACGACGACGGCTCCTCTTCTCCAGAGTCCCTCAAGCCCCTCCGCCACTCCTCTTCTCTCGAATCCCTCACTGACATTGACCAGATCTACTATTGGGACTATTCCCGCAGCTGCAGCCCCAACCCAGACCGTGTAAGCAGCTGGAAATCTTTGCAAAAAAAAATGGACGTTTCCTCCATAGCTGGGCCAGGTAATTCCCCTGAAAAGCCCTCGTGGACCTATGACGACTGGGAGGATCTCAAAGACCTCTTTGTTCAAGCTACTGATCAGTTTGAAAGTGCGTTGGTTGCTATCGATGTCGGCAGTTGGCTAAATGGCAGATTGTGTAGATGCTGGTGCCTCAGAAGCGCTGCCTATCATCCGAGGGGTTATCCACGAGTGTCATAGGTTCATGTTGGTCTACCCGGATCCATCTGTCCTCCTTTTAAACCCCCCGCCAAAACATCACTTATCAGGAACGACATCCCCACCCGATGAGGCAATCGCTAGTGTTCTGCTCAGCTCTCTACCACCAAAACCTCACAAATGGTACGTCCTGTCATGAATAGTCCTGGGATTGCTGATCGATGAACGAAAAAAAAAAAAACTCTTAGTAAATGTGCCGATCTGCCTACTGCCTTCCACCTCATTCTAGGAACCGTGCTCTTCATGTTCGGCAGTCTGATTGACCAAGACCCAACACAGGCTGCTCCAGGCGAACCTGACACGCCCCTTCCTTATTGGCTCGCTGCTCTCGATGTATTCGAGACAGGTGAAAACCTCCCTATCCGCACCAGCGGATATGGTCCTGAGGTTCCCGACGACTGGCAGATGGCTATCGTGTGGGGACGCACCTTCGTTGCGCTTGCCGAGCAAATGGTGACTCGCCAACTAGAATCTCACAAGGAAGGCGCCAGCGCCACATACGACGGTGCTACCGTCTCCGAATTTCTCGCAGAGGACCCAGAGTGGCCCCCGGAGTCCCCCTTTTCCGTCATCGTGAGACGCCGCCCGCCCCTCACGCAGCGCATGACTCTCTCCTCTGCGTCCCCAAACGAGCTCATGGTCTTCGCAATGGACCAGTTCTCGCGCGGCATATTCCGCATGCCGCACCAGGTGCACCAGGCACAGATCCTCCCGCTCGGCGCAGAGACGTTCTCGCGCGCAAAAGAGCTCTTCCAGATCGCGTCGGACGTTTTATCCGTCGCGGAAAAGCTCATGTTGCCTACGGAGCGCCACTTCTGGGCTACATGGGCCGACGGGATTTTTAATCAGATGAAGATGGAGGCAGACATGGATGCGTGGCGGGGCCCGATCAACCGTGCGAGAGGGCGCTGCTGGCTCGTCGTGGGAACGGCGCGTGCAGAAGAGTTCGAGGCCGCGATGGAAGAGTCCGATGGGAGTCTTGCGGACTCGAAAGAGGCCCGCGAGGCCCGCGATGGGCTGCTCAAGGCTTTGGCTTTCTTTGAGCGTGCCAAAGGCTCTGCTGCTGCTAATCACGAGGAGCTCGGTGATGAGGATGCGCAGGAGCTGCGGAAGCTATTGGCGGAGACCTTGCTGGATCTTGGTAATCTGGCTCCGACCAAAGAGGAACAAGAGAAGTACTATACCCGGGCAAAGGAAGAAGGTGGTCAAGATTATCTCATGGATGAGGATTCCGACCATGAGTTGGACAGTGATGGGGATGAGCTAATGAATGACAGCTGAGTGGAATTGAAATTTCAGATGACGAGCTACTTTTTTTGGGTCTCTTTTGCATCGCTTTCTCCGAATATACCACCCACATGCATTCATTGTATTTGCAATCATGTACTACCATTGTATACCATCTGACGCTGATCTACGGTTCCCCTCTATCATGATCCAATCCCAAGCCTCGCAACGCTTCTAATTGTATGTCTCGATAGATCCTTATCATGATATGTCGTCTCAAGAGTCTGGCCTGGGCCCAGAACATGTCGTATGAAGGGAACAATTGATTGGGTCAGCGTGCCGTGTCGACGCCACTCCACCTGTTCATGCCGGATGTCCTGCAAACGCGGACCAAAAGTCACCAGCAAACGAGTCAAGGGGTCATGTTTACGCGAGCGCATGGACAACAGCCTCAAACGTGGCGAAAGTGACCATGTTTACGGGAATGGCTCTACAGACCACTATCAAGTTTAGAGTAAATTCATATTTAGAAATAGCCCCTTACCGAAGTAGTGTAGGGGCGAGACCCCGGAAGAACACATTAGCACCTTCTGCCCGGTATGAATGAACTATCGTGGAGGCGGTGTTCCGGTAAGGATTGTTATATTTTCTCATGCTGAGATCAGGAGGCCTAGACAAAAAGAACTTTCTGTAAACAGAAAAAATCCCATGATGGGAAAACGGCGAACCGCGGACTGCTATGATCAGTTCCTTGTATGCGCGTCTTGACAACATCAAATGGAAAAGTCACCACCCATCCGACTATGTATAAAACAAAGGGATGACGTTTTCCGCATTCGTAAATAAAAAAATAGATGGACAACGTACAAACCCCGGCGGCTCCGCCGGCTATGAGCATAGACCACCAAACGGGGCCTGTGCTTGACGCTGACGCGTTGCTTTCCACGGATCTTCCTGCCAAAGGTGACAAAGCGCGACAGGTCGCTTCATACTGACAAATTGATCAGCAGGGGCCGCCGAAAGGAAATAAGCACCAACACACAGAAAGGAAATATGCCCCATATCCGGTGTCTCTCAGAGCTGTTGAAGTAATTCCACGATATAGACCGCGTAGACCGGAAGTTCTAACAATCTGACAGGCGGTGCTATAGACAGAAGCAGATTTTTCAAGGCAATTCTGCTGCCTGATCTTGATCAATTCTATGGGTGTCGTCAAGAAACTCAAAAGTTACGTTAGCTCATGGGAATCGATGCCAGTGACTCGACGATAAGGCTCACGAAGATACGATGCCAGTTCCGACACCTGCAAGCGTGATCTGGGTGAGTGTAGGTGTAGCTTCATTATGATCTAATTGCAATTTCATAAAAGAGTGGTATGAAGCAAAAACGAGGCCATTCAAGAGGGCGCTCGTGGCCTGTCGAAGCCAGTGAAAGTCAATTCAAGATGATCGATGGAATGGATCATAGAAGTACCAGCGGTGAGGTGATGCCCTTATATAAACCGAAAAACCTCTCTTCACGTATAATTGTAGAGACCGCATTGAGTGTAGAACGATACTTGACGGCCGTTTGTGGATTCTGAAAGCGAACTTTGACTGGAAAAACGCGTCATTGATGAGCGTGACAGTTTGCGCGTATTTTTTTTCTTTGGTTGCTTAAACGCCATTGGATACTTACCAGTGTCTAACGGAAAGCCCACAACGAGGCCACTTATACCCTGCTCTACGCGTCAGCCGGGTTCAGGAAACAGCCTGAGGAGTCGTGAAGTTCACCGCTGCAGTTCCGGCCACGAAATCGACGGTAGGATCAAGTTCGACTGACAGTGACGTCGTCCAATCGCGTTAATTGATTCCGAGCCTATTGTGGAATTCTGGATTCGTTACGTACCTTTTCCTTCTAGGAGATCGCTCATTGTATGAGCTAGTGTATTCCAGACTTTCAAAGTCTATGTCTAGCTAATAAAAGTGAGTGAAACTGTAAGGAACATACGTACAACGCTGAACCTGAAATAAGCTTAGGGTAAGTGTCGCGTGTTCGATCCGGAGTTCAATGTCATTGTTTGGAACGGATCCACATTGTGCTGGATAAAGCTTCGGCGCAAGGAATAATGAAGCCATCTAGTATCCAAACGCTTGAGACAGGCTAGGAGGAGACCGAAAAAACAGGAGGTCGCAAGAAGCCTGTGGGCTTAACTGGGAATTGAACCCAGGACCTCCTCCAACATTGCTTTGCACTCAAAGCGGGACGAACCCCGAAGGAGGAATCATACTACTAGACCATTAAGCCGCTATAATGTAAGAACATGACCAGGCCTATGTTCCGTTGAGTCGCTCATGATCAGCAAGCATCTTGTCTTATAGTCCATAATAAATAATAGTCATCTAGTTTTATTCACGATCTGTTCCTAAAAATACACTATTTTACGAGATAGCACGACGCCTCGACACAGGCTTGCTGCGCTTGCGTTTCTTCCCTTCGGCAAATGCGTTTGCACTTTTCAGGTCTCTGCCTAACGGATCATCCTTCTTTACTTCGTAGATTCGAACCTAAAACACAACGCAGAAAAGAGAAGGCAATGAGTGAGCACGAGGCATCGTGCACCGTCAGGCGTGAGAGGACTCACGATCCAGTTCTCCGACGTGAATGCTTCATCCAAGTAATCTAAAGTGGGACCCACTGCAGGAACCTGCTGGCCACGGACACGATCCTGACCCGGACCGCCGCCAAACAGATTTGCAAAGCTACGAAGAAACACGTAGAGCATAAGCTTAGACTCCTACTAAGTGCCACAGGAAGTACGCACCGGTAATACGACATCTTATACATAAGACTGTTCCTCATCGTAGGCGAAGCACTATCATCGATCTTATATTCGCCATGGGACGTAAAAAACGAAGCCTCCTGCACCTCCTCGGGCCACACGCCTTGTGCGATACGGATCATCCATAGAAACTTGTTGATGTCGTCTCCGGAGTACCCAATTAGACCGCCGAAGATGACGAGCACGTACGAGACATCATGTTTCCGCAAGATGGGATAGGCGACTTCCTCAGGGCTCGACATAGCCTTTCCGACGGTAGCGATGTGGGCTGAGGGAGGTGATCAAATCAAAAGACAATGAGAAGAAAGAAAGGAGTGACCTACTATTATTCCAGGTATTATTATCAACGAGCGTAGGGCGGTCAGCCATACCAGCAATCTGGTACCCATAATCCCACCAACTCATCACAACAGCATCTTCCGCCGTGTTCTGGCGGAGCCAATAATAAGCCTCACGGAAATCATCAATAATATGCTGGCTGCCGTCCGAGTTCTGGGACGCCAGCACAACGGACGGGGACGAGTAGGCAGTAGACGTGGCCCAAGTACAGTGCGACACGAAGAACGCGAGCAAAAAGATGGTGTTGATGATGATCATGATACGCGTGTCAAGCCCATAGATACCCCGCTTCGAGGAGCCGTCTTTTTTGGATGTAGGAGAGGAGAGGACCTGAGAGAGGGTGATACCAGTCTCAGCAGCAGCAGCAGCGGTCTTCTTTGCTTTCTTTGAGGGAGTAACGGCTGTAGAAGAACCGGAAAGAGTGGTACCGTTTGTAGGCGTGCCTGAACCAGCCTCACTTTGGCTGTCGTCAGCAACGTCAGGCTCCATCGGGTCGATGAAGGTATCAAGAAGTGTGGAAAGCGCGACAGCAGAAGCAACACAGACCACGGGTGTGAGCGTGAGCATGAGACGAACCATAACTCCGGCAAAGTAGCTTGCCACGGCGGCGTAGATGATAACAAAAATGTGCTCGTCACGAAGTTCGCGGAAGCAGAGGATCACGCCGGCAGGGAAGAGGAAGATCAGAAACTGGAGGTCCATGAAGAACGATGGCCATGCCGTGGGTTGATGCTCGGAAACCGAGGCGATGATAGGGATATACCTGAGAGAAAGAGATTAGAATATTGTAGTCAGGATATCGTATTCACGTACTTTTTAGCGTATCCAGTGTCCCAAAGGGAATAGAAACGGCCCGTCCATGGAGCAATCCATCCTTTATACGTGAGGCCAATGATAGCCAAGGCTCCCAAGATACCGACAGTGATTACTCCAGCGACGACGATGCTTTGGAACTGTTGCGAGGAAACATGTGACCTGACCAGTTGCGCGAACGCGACAATCTGGAGGAGACCAAAGACACCTGTGACAGGACTGAGTCAAAACTCCATAGACCATAGAGCGGACAGACCAAGAGCTGCCATATGTTCGCTAGTCCTTACAGGCTGGAAGCCAACGAAAGGAACTTGCATGCTAGCCAATGTACCAATAGCGTACCATGAAGAATAGGCGACATAGAGACGGCCGCTGTAACGTCCCATAAGAAGAAGTACAAAAGCATGGATAGGAATCATGTTTGTAATGAAAGCATATCCACCTATGCAAAATGTCAAACAAATGCTTCAGGCAGGGCACGTTAACTTACCCCACGCTGCCACCATGTAGAAGTAGAAGAAAGCAGAAAAAGTGCCGAAGAGTGCACTTCCTTGTTTGAGAGCTTTGATCCAAAGAAAGAAAGTGAACATAAGGAGAAAGATGGCAATGGCTTCATTGTCATAAGAGCCAGCAACTGAACGCGAAATGTATCCGGGTACAATGCCAATGAATGCTGCAGCAAGAAGACCGGCGCTGGCATCTTTCATCTCCTTTGTAAATCTAGGATACGATTGAGGAATCTGCCTTCAAGCGATTAGAAGAGCGTACTGGTAAGTTGCCCACGCTGTCAGAGCACTGAATCCGGGAGCGAGAAGTACACAGATATTCCTAATATCGACTGGGAGGTTGATCGCGTGGAGTAGATTGTAGATCACACCACTAGTCGCCATTAGACCAGGATATACAGTTCCACCGACGACTCTTCCCAGAGGGTACCATGCCGTAGGGTCAAACCAATTCCAGAATTCCTGATCGGAGTGAGTTGTGTGACTTCATTTTGTAATAGGTGGTAGATAACTCACATAGAACCCTTTGGAGGCCAAAACCCTGGTAGCACGACTTGTGCCGGCATTTCAACGCAACGCCATAAACAGACATCCCAAGCCACGTACTAATTAAACCATGGGTCGCTGTGGTTAGAAGCTATGTGTCAAAAGGATGATATGATCGACGGATGATGATAGAACGCACAATTCGTGGATAATACTTTCAAAATTTATGACGGCAAACAATCGTGAAGCGATAGCCGCACCAGAGATGAGAGCAAGAGCAACAATGCGAATCAGAGACGCAGTATTTGCGACTGTCGTTGGGGACAGATTTGTAGGGAGTGTATAGGCCGAAGGCATGGCCGTTTGTGAGTAAGTAGGCGTACTCCTATGAACAGTGGCTGTGGTAAACGACCGTGGTGACGAAGGACGTGTGCGATGCGAATTGTCGACGTGTCCAACACGGTGCTAAATTTAGACGCTGACTAAGCTTCTCTCCAAGGACTACTTATGTACATACCTCCAACGGGTCATACTTTTACAGTTTGACCTCTTGTGATCATTCAGATTCAGTGTTTAAAAACTATTTATGGAGAACTCTGGTATATGGTTCTCTGGTAGCTCGGAGTTACCCTTTGAACCGGACGCCACTGACAGCATTAGTAAGGCCCTTCTCGGTTAACCGCCAACAGAGGTTGAACGAACCTCGTATGGGAACCGATGGTAGCGCTACCATATTCGTACTCGTCCCACCTATTTAGACTCCAGCAAGTACTTGTGTGCCCCTGTTTCTCATCATAAGAAAATTGTGCTCACAATCCATGCCTGCTAAACATGTTCTTATCAGCTTCGGGGTCGACGTTGACGCTGTGGCGGGATGGTGCTTCACCCTTATACCGCATTTATCCGTATGATTCACGTCGAACTCCTCAGGCTGGGATCCTACGGAGGAGAAGACTCGCCACTCGACATCTCGAGGGTACTTATTTCTGACGAAATAGACGCCACCTTTAAGATTTACCTTGATTCTCACAGGGAATGTTTGCGGGTGAAGTTGGAGTCCCCCGCCTCTTAAAGCTCTTTGACAAGTATAAGATCAAGACTACATGGTTTATTCCTGGTGCGTTTGAGCCCTCGTCCACGTGTCGATCGTTAAACTTGATATAGGCCACAGTCTCGAGACCTTTCCTCAGCAAATGGCTGATGTTCGCGACGCAGGACACGAAATGTATGTACTTATATGTTCATGTCTCGATCAACTCGTTGAAATCCTTGACTCATAGTGGATTACACGGCTATTCACACGAGGTAATGTACTCACTTGATATAAGGAATATATTCGAATCGTGTTCTCAGAATCCAGTGGCCCTCACCGTACAGCAGCAGAAGGATATTCTAGATCATACGTACAACCTGCTGACGACTTTTAACCATGGTATTCCACCCAAAGTCAGTGTTTTTTCCGTCGGTTTTCCATTATATTCTCAACTTTCGATCAGGGAAGCGTCGCGCCTTGGTGGGAAGTCTGTAAAGAAGGCGTCCAATTATTGTTGGATAAGGGAATTGAATATGGTAAGTATATGTCCTAAGTTCCATGATGGATGAGCTCATCGCGCCGAAAACTGTAGATCATTCTGGCATGGCTCATGAGTTGGCAGAATTCTTTAGTAACCGGAGCCTCACTGATTAAGTACTGTCAGCTGCCAGGCATATTATCTTAGGGATGAGGACACCTGGACAAAGATCGATTATTCTGTTGATGCCAAGTCCTGGATGAAGCCACTGAAACGTGGGAAGGAAACGGGTCTTGTCTGCATCCCGGGGAACTGGTAAGTCCTACTAGTAGTTGATCCTCTCGTACCCACCGATAACTAACGGTCTTACTGTAGGTATCTTGACGACCTTCCACCAATGATGTACCCCTTTTTATTGTGGGCAATTCTATGACGTTCCTTACTTGTGGCAACATAGGTTCATCAAGTCCAGTCCTAACTCTCAAGGCTGGGTAAGCGTGACTTGTAGCGAATTAAATTCCACCTAATTTCACGTTCTTTCAGGTAAATCCACGAGATTTGGAAGAAATGTGGAAAGACATGTTCACTTATTGCTACAAGTATGTAAATCCTTCTCACCAACTTCTCCATTCTATGGTTTCATTTGTGTCTCTCAGCAACGAGGAAGAATTCATCTTCCCAATCACAATCCATCCAGATGTCAGTGGGTGAGCAGAAACTATCATATGGACTTCCATGTCTCGTCTCGCTGAGATTGAATGCCTTTCTACAGACGTCCTCAGGTCCTCCTCATGCTCGTAAGTCAACATC